ACTGCCTGGGGGCTGCTCACAGCCCCTCGCCCAAGGTTTGAAGCTGTGTTTTGTTCTCAGCTTTGTTCTGTGCCTGCACAGACCAGCACAACCCAACACAGTGAGGAGGGGCCATGGCTGCTCTCTGCTGGTGTGCTTCACGGGGCCTGAGCTCCATCCCCCCTCACTGCAGCACCCAGGGTGGGTCCCTCCATTGGCCCAAGGATGCTCTGCCCTTGCCCCACACCCCATGCCTTGCTCCCTTGGTCCCTCTGTGCAGGCACAGCCCTGGCCTGGATGAGTTAAAATTCACCTCCAAACAAAAGCTGTGGAGTCCCATCTGCTATTTGGGGAGCAGACATGGGTGCTAGTGTAGGTGACCACCAGCCTCGGGCATGGAGGGCCACGGGCACGGGCTGCTGTGGCTGCTGGGTGCCCAGCAGAGGGTCCTGGCTGTGCCAATTGCCTCCACGTCCCTCACCAGTGCTGGGAGGGCTGAGCAGAGGGCACCAGGTCCAGCAGCTGGTGTTCGAGCTGGGAGAACGGCAGGTTGCTGGGAAACATCCCTCTTGAGCTCCGATAAAAATAGCTCCATCTTCAAGGCAAGAGGATGGGCTGTGCTGCCGGCGACACAGGGGATGTGTCTGCGCCCACCAGGTTGTGGGGCCGAGGCAAACTGGCCTGGCCCCACGGGGTCTGTGCCGTGGACCTCCATCCCACACCTCTGTCGTGACATGGTGCAGTGGGACGGTGGTGCACGGGCTCAGGGTGTGCCTGTCATTGCCTGGTGCTGCCCTCCCTCACCACCAAATCAGGCTTGGGGATGTGAGAGAACAGGAATCAGGGCTGAGCAGAGAAAGTGGGGGTGTCTCTGTCCCCCCACACAGCTTCCCCTGCCCCTTCAGCTCATCTCTGGGTTTGCTCCCATGAGGAGGGGGTTTGGGGGATGTGGGGTTGGGGGGAAGCTCAGTGCTTCTTTTGTGGTGATTGGGGCTTTCCATGGGAGGGTTTTTTTGCCCAACAGCAGCCAGGCTGGGTGGGTTGGGGGCATCCAGCCTTTCCCAGGGCATGAAGACCCTCTATCCCTTCCCAGCAGAGTGGATGGGTTCACTCCCTTCTCTGGCATTTCCATGGAACAGTGCCTTTTCCCAGCTTGGGGAGTGGGGTAGGAGGAGGTCAGGGCTTCACTCCCTCATCCTTGGGCAGAATTTGAATTTGGTGGCCAGAAAGGGATTCACAACCCCAGCAGCCAAACTCCTGTGGCATGCAGCTGTGGGAGAAGACAGACCCCATCCTGGTCTCCTGCCACCTCCCATTTTCGGGGCTCACGTTTCGGCCCCGAGGACCAAAGGCTGGCCCCGACGGAGGTCCCCGAGTGCTGCAGCCGCAGAGGTGGGACGGGCACCCCGGTCCCAGGGGCGGCCGGGCGGCTGCGGGGAGGCCTCGGTGGGGCGGGCGAGCTCGCTCGGGAGGTGGCGGGGATGCTGCGGGGCTGATTATTCACAAGCTTCCCTCGCCCCGATTGGCTCTGCCGCCGCGCACAGCCGGGCCCCGCCGCAGGAGGAGGCTCCGTGGCCATAAAAGCGGGGTTGGGAGCCAGCGGGCGGCGAGTCCGGTGGGCAACCCGGGCAGCACCGTGGGGCCACCCGCCAGCGTGGCCTTGCCACCGCAACTGATGACTGGCTCAGCCTGACACCCGTGGAGGGACAACCATCACCCACCACCTGTGCTGACTTGGCGAAGTGGGTGCTCGGCGGGACGGGGAGCAGCACAGGTAGGTCTATTGGGGTTGTCATCCTGCTCCCGTGGCATGGGCACAGCTGGGCATCGCTCCTACTCCCCGAAAAGCGACTGTTTAAAAACACACCCCGAGCCTCAGTGCTGAGAGCAGCTCGCGGTTGGGCTTGTTGTGTTATTTTGAAGGGGCTCCCACCTGGCTGCAGGTGCTCCTCTCGCCACTCGAGTGGTTTTTCATAGCCCATGAAGCACTGTCCAGAGCTCTGCTGGGGTTCATTTCCATGCTGATGCCGTGCCTGCCACCCTGGCAGCAGGGTCACCCAGGGCTCAGAGGGGCAAAGGGAGCAGGGAGAGAGGATGGGGCGTTTCTTTCTCCCCCACTGCTTGGCTTAAGCAGCGGTGGTGGCCACAGCAGCGGGTTTTGAGTGATTCTGTTCCAAAAGTTGCCAGCTTTTTTGAGAAACCTTTGTCCAAGTAAATTTTAACAGTGAGGAAAGGAACAGCTGTAAAGGTTGATTCTTCTTCTCCACCAGGAATACCTGCAGAGTCTGAAGCTGCATAGTTAGACCTGTGTGGGAGGAGGCATCTGGCCAATCTGGAATTGCTGTTCATGTCCCTCATTAGGAATAATCACAGGTTAATCATGAGAGGGTTGGTCTCTGCTGCGTGGCACACTCAATCTCGATTCCCCATCCCTCCTTGGGTCACCAGGTCTGTAACTGGCCCCCGGAGTGCATGGATGCAGTTTGTGGCTTTTCCAAACACAAGCAAAGCCTGCGCTCTGGAGGCTCAAGTGGAAATGGGGCAAGGCAGGAGGGGATCCTGGCAGGCACCTGACTGGGACGCAATGCTGGCATTTCCAGACCTTGCCACAATCCTGATGAGGCGTTCCCTCAGGAGGGATGGCTCTGGAGCCTTGGGCTCCTCCAGGTTATGCTGGATTGAGCTCGAACTCTGCTTTTCTTCTTCCTTCCTTTGTGTTCTTTTTGCTTCTTCTCCCCCCTCGCTGCTTCTTTTCTCTATTGTCCAAACCCCTTTGTTTTCCTCTCCTTTTCCTGCTCCCGTTTTTCCAGTCCCCCCCCTCCCAGCCGCAGGAGCAGGCAGAGCACTGCTGGGACATTTGTGGCATCATCTGGACGCGGTGCATTTGCTGTGGGGTGTCCTTGGACACCCTGTGCCCGGAGAGCTGCAGCTCCCCTGAGTGCCTTGAAATCCTCCTGCTGCAGCAGCGGGACAGGGAGTGGGACACACTGTTTCCAGAGTGTCAGGGGACTGAGCTGTGCAGTGCCAGTCTCGCTGGCAGCTTGTTCCCGGCACGGAGTGAATGTTCCCGGTGCGCGCTACTCTGGCGGCACCCACATCGGCAGCAGAGGAGCACGGCAGGGCACGGGAGGGAGAAGCAGGTGGAAAAAAAAGGGGAAAAAAATGTTCCCCGGTGGGGCTGCTGGGAAGCAGCTGGTAGTTATTTTTGGGAGCTTCATTGCTCCCAGTGCTGCAGCTGGCACCTACCTGTGCGGCCGGCAGGTCCTCGCTCCTCCGTGCTGTCTCGGTGGCTCCGAGCTGATGAGGGACGGTCCCTGTGTCTCCGCAGTGAGGGCAGGGTGAGGTCCCACCATGCTCACCCCGGTCCCCGCCGTGCTGCCAGGACACTGGGGGGGATGCAGGGAGCCGGTGGCAGCGCAGCCGAGGAATGCAGACAGCTCCACACACGATGGTGCAGATAATTCAAATTAAATTTTAATCTAGCGTGAATTAATACTGTGGCATTAACATTTCTTCATCAGTACCAATTACAGTACATTAGCAGCTACTGCTGGAGAACACAATAGTCTCTAATATGCGTCATTAATGTGTAACAGATCCCTCTGGGTCATGCCTTCCCACCCCAGATAAAAGCAGCCACGGAGGCAGGCAGGGGCTTGCAGCCAGCGCAACCTTTGGGGTTGGTTCTTACTCCCGGGGCCATCATGGTCCTGGTGGCACCGTGATCCTGAACGAGGGTTTGCACTGGCCCCTCCAGCCTCATCCAGGGTCTGGCCGAGCACTGCCACCTGCAGAGCCCCTCTCTCAGCTGGGCCCCTCTCTCAGCCCTCCCTGGCCTCATCTGCGGATGCCAGAGGCTCCGTCACAGCCCCCACACGGCTGGAGGATGGCGATCATGGCTTGCAGGTAGGCTTGAAGCCAAAATCCGCATTTTCCCCCCTCCCTCCTGGTGCACCAGCCCAGCAGAGTTAGTAGGTGGGAGGGAGGGGAGATGAGGCAGCCTGGGGTGAGTCCACACTGGCTGATGGCATCACCCCATCCCATTCCCACCACGGCTCCGGTTGCGGTGGTTCTCTTCCCCAAGGCCAAGGGGAAGAGCTGGTGATTCATCCCTCCATGCCACACAGACGTGGCGATCGCGGCATCAGAGAAACCACACGCTAGAGAAAAAAAGGCGCTTTTCTTTCTAATGGTATGGTAAGAGGGATGGAAAGGAGAGAGGGGATGGAGTCGGATGGGATGGGATGCAATGGTGGCCCTGAGGGCCTGGGTGTGGCTCAGGGCTTGTGCCAGGGACCAGGCTGCAGCAAGGGTTAGGGATTGCATCCTGTATTGTCCCTGCCAGTCACTCCTGCCGCCTCTCTCCTGGCCTGGGACCCAGGAGCAGTGCCTGGAGGTGACTCCCACGGGGACAGGCACAGGCACAGGTCCCTGTGTGTGTCCCCAGGAGCAGCTCAGAGGTGGGGATGGTGGGTGCCCCGTGCCCACAGTGACGATGGGTCTCCCAGAGCCAGCACGGGGAGGGTGACGGGCTCTGTGCTGTCTCCCCTTCCCCAGGCAGTGGCTGCAGGGCGAGATGGCACGGGGGGCACTGGTACTGGCACTTTGCCTGTCCCTGGCTGCGGTGGCATCTGCTGACTGTGTCACCCAGTGTTCCCTCTGCGCGGCCCAGACCCACGGCACCGAGAGCAGCGTCCGGCCCCTGGTGAGTGCTGGCCCTGTGCAGATGTGAGCGGGGTGGTCACAGCAGTGGGGTGTCATGGGTGCATGGTGGCACATGGGGGGTCATGGGCACCCCAGGGTGCTGGGGATGTGCAAGTTTTGGCTCCTCGCTGAGCTGTGCAGCACGGTGGGCACAGACCCCTGGGCTTGGCGTGGGGGCATCCCCAGGGTGGGGTGGAGAGAAGGCAGGGGGTGTCACCCTGAGTACCTGGGGCCGCCATGGCCACTGTCTTGCAGATGTGCCTGTGGGAATGCCAGGGCTCCTTGCCACCCGGCCCCGAGTGGGAGATGTGCAGGAAGGCACTGGCGCTCCTGGCCCCGCTGGTGGCCCTGGCTGAAGGGACAGACCCGTTCCCGCTGGAGGTGGAGGAGGACGAGGCGGAGCTGGAGCAGGAGCTGGGCCCCGGGGAGCAGCCCCTGGCACCGGCCAAGCGCTACGGGGGCTTCATGAAGAAGATGTCCAAGGGGAAGCTGCTGTCGCTGCTCCGCGAGAACGCCCACAGCAAGGGCGGCCTCGCCAAGAAGTTCGGGGGCTTCGGCCACAAGCCGGGGGAGCGGGCGGCCCCTGAGGACTACCCGGGGCTGGGGCCAGCAGGCGAGGGGGGCG